TTTCTCCTGACGTAGTCGGTTTCCTTTCTGCAGCACCACTGCAACTATGCATTGTATTTCACAACCTTTGTGCTAGGTAGATGCCTGTGACTTTTTAACTCGGGGTGGGGGTGGGGGGGTTGCAAATGAAGGAACTTTTTACATGGATCTTTTTAATCTCAGTTGATTGGGGGTGGGGGGTATTTGGTTCTAGGGTCGTACAAGCTCTATCCCAAAGCAAAATCCAAATGTTAATAATATTAGCCTGATGCAGATACCAAAGATGATTTCTTTCCTGCAGAACCTTAGACTTGCGTATTAAGTACGATTACCCAGCACTTGCATTAGTGTAACCTCAGTAATTCCAAAGCTTAGATGTATATTTTGGTATATTTCTGGGATATTAAAAAAAAGAAAATGTCGTTTAACTTCTTGTTTGTTTCAGTGTAATGCTCTTAAAGTCATAGCATGAAAATAACTGAACTGTCCTATTCTTAGTAGTTTGAAATAATAGTATTTTTGTATGTTTTGGGTGTGTCTATGTATGTATTAACAGTTTTCACTGCCTAGGTGTTCATAATAAAAAAGAAAATGAAAAAGCTCTGAGTGTACATAATATTCAGTAATAAACTTCCACCAGGTTCAATTTGGATTGCATATTTGCTGATTACTGTTCCCAACTGGGATTTTGTTTTGTTTTAAAGAGACAGTGATCGTGTTTTCCTAAAGATGTTGTTTTTTCTTTCCTCTTTGTCTTTAAATATCTTAACTAGCCCCCACCACCACCACCGCCACCTTTTCTTTTCTTCCTTTTTCTTTTCTTTTCTTCTTTCTTTCTTTCTTTTTTTTTTTTTTAATATTGATTCAGGGGTGTTTTTCCACTGTTGTCAAGGGAAGGTCATAAGGGGGGACTGGCCCCTTAGCCTCCCAAAACTTTGTTTTATGTACTTAAGTTTAAAATGTGAGTTTTGAGTTCTCTTTTGTGGAAACTTAAGATGTGGTGTAAATGATTCTTTCCAAAATTGTCCAGCAGCTCTAATGAGGCAGTGACAATTTCTGAGTAGTTGATTGGGAGTCTTTTTGCATTTCTCCTTAGGTGACCTCCGGCCTGGTGGCTGCTGTGTCGCCTCACTGCCCCAGAGTGCCCGGTTAGCCGTTTCCCCTCCCATAGGAATGTTCTGTAAGAATCTGCTGATAACCTGGATTTCGGGGGACCTTGTTACCAGGGCCCCTGGGAAACACACGGTTTCTTGATTTTGAAAACCCAAAACACAAGCAACTTTCCACTTTGGGGAATTAGCTGATGTGCCTCCGAGGCCTGAGGAGGTGGTGGGGAATATGAGCGGTGCTGTCTCTTTAAAAAGTGCCCTTTATATGATTCCCCCTCCCAGGGCCTCCGCCGGGGCTGTAGGCTTGGGAGAGATTGCGTAGGTGACAGTGAGTCAGAATGAAATGGTAGATTTTGTGTAGATGGATTTGTCTGCTGTAATTTTTATATATATATTAAACTTACTGTAACTGTACAGTTCGTTTCTGTTGTAAAACATCATTAAACCATTTTCCAAGTGTTTTCACACTGTTGGCGTTTCCTTGCCGCCGCCGGCGTCCGAGTGCTGCCCCCCCATCTGCCTTTCCAGCCCAGCATCGCGCGGCCCCGCACCCCGGGCTTTGTGTGACCACACACACAGGCCCTTGACTGGTCCTAAAGTCGGGTCTTTGATGACAGACCTGGTAGTGAACTTGACTTTCCCACACGTACTGTTGATGCCCTCTGCGCCCCTCCTGCATTTCCCACCGCATGCTGCACGTGCGTCCCTGGGCTTCTCCAGAAGAGGGGGAGACGAAGGATCCGAAGCAGCTCCGGGCTGAGAGCAGAGAGCCCGACACGGGGCTCGAACTCACGAACCCTGAGATCGTGATCTGGGCCAAAGTCAGCCGCTCAACCGACTGAGCTGCCCAGGTGCCCCTGAAAGTTTGAATCGGAAAGTGAATTTCCCACAGACAGAAACCTTCAGCCTGTTGAAGGGCTTTGGGAAGCTAACTCTCCTGCCTCACTACTGTGTGCAGACGAAGTCCGTGTGTGTGTGTGTGTGTGTGTGTGTGTGTGTGTGTGCGCGTGCGCGCGTGCACGCTCCCTGACGTGTGTGTGGGGGACACAGCTGTTGTGCTGTCGCCCTCTACAGGGCCCAGGACGGGCAGGCACACATCGGCTCCCCTTGTCCCCAACGTCACCTGACTAGGGTACCATCCCCCCTCGGATTTGTAGCTTGCGTGTAAGTGTGGGAAGTTGATTCCTTAAAACAATTTGGAGTTTTTAACAGAAACCTTCTGTCTGGTCGCGACAGTGACGTGCTCACCCGCGCGAGGAAGACCTCAGCCACCCCGCCTGTCACACCCCACAGGATGGGGATGGAGCGCCCATCAGCGTCCGCCCAGGGGCCCCTTACCAAAGTGGTCCTGTTCTGACCCGCTGTGGCGTGGCCCGGCTCAGTTCCCCGGGGGGTGGGGGGGTGGCCGCCTCTCCAAGAACCAGCCCTTGAAGTTACAGGGCCTCTGGGGCCAGAACGCAGTCAAAGGCCCATGGAAACGCCTGGCACCAGGCTGCTAAAACGCACAGAGTCACGTGGACGGGACACGGGCTGCGGCTGCACAGCGGCCCCGATGGCCAGGCGCTAGGTCCGCTGCGGAGCCTCCTGTCAGCTGGGACTGGTCACCTGCCTGGCTTGGCAACTGTCCTGTGCCTCCCTTCTCCAGCCATAGTCCAGGAAGCAGAAGGCTTGATCACGCCCTACCTGACGTCGGTGCCATCAACCGAATGCAGTTTTTTAAAAAATACTGAAAGCTTCCATTTTAATTTGCATACACGCACGTGCACACACACGCACACTAACACACACAAAATGTCTGGGTTCCTCAATGTAAGTGAAATGCCCTCCTTTGTTCTAAAACCCATCTTTGTATTTTAACACGAAACAGGGCTGCATCCTACAATGGACGTTTATTTCGAGAGTTGGGTGTTTTTACTTAAGGTAAGTTGATGGCACATCTTATCCAATCAGTCACTTCTTGGGATGGAGGAGCCCAGCTGGCTTTGGAGAGGAGACCGAGGGCCGAGGAAGGGCAGGAACTGGGCGGCGCCGGGGACACCTCCCCTGGACCCTGGGGCTCCCTCCCCCCCCCGCCCCCAGCACGGTGGCTCTCACCGAGCTGGCAGCGCCCGCCCAGGCCCGCCGTGGCACCCACGCCTCGCTGCCAGCTTTCCTCCCCGCGTCTCGAGCTGGATTCTTGATGGAATTGAGTCAAACTCTTATTTTCGAGCCAGCCATACGGGTCACGCGGCCTACATGTACCTCGGCGGACCTTGAAACTAGGTCCAGGGTGTGAGGCTGACTCACTCTGACTAACAGGTGAATCCAGCCACAGGGAGGTCTTTACAGTGCCCAGGGAGCGGGAGCGGAAGACAAAGGAGGAGCAGCCCACAAGGGCTCAGGCAGCGAGCACAACTTCTTCCCATTCCCTCCTGCCTCCTGACCAGGATACAGGGTGAGGGCCTGCAGCCTGCGCTCCGTCCCTCCTCAGACGCCCTCCACCCGCGGCCGGTGGGGGCTCGGGCTGTACCCCCCGCTGGCAGCCACTCCCCCCTGCCTGGCCGGTGCGCGTGGTGACACAGCCGTGTGATGGTTTGATGTGCCTGGAATCCAATGGCAACGTGTTAGGCCCCTAAGTCTGGCGGTGCGTCTGTCCCCGCGGTTGCCTGCGAGCTCTGGGCACAGAAATAGTAGGTGCAGGGCAAGTATTTGTTGAAAGGAATTGAACTCCCCCCCCCCCCCCCCCCCCCCCCCCCCGTGAGGCCAGGCTGCAGATTGCATGCCTTCTCCTCGGAGTTGGTCCCCACATGCCCGGCACAGATGCACGTCCCTCCTGCGGAACCTCAGCTGCTCACACCAGCCGCGACCTTGGGTTTTGATCTCAGAGACTACCCAGCATGCATTGCTGGCTTGGGGAGTGGGGGCCACATTTACAGTCGCTCCAAGCAGAGGGAACCTGGCCGAAAAAGACCTCCGTCGCCCTCCCGCCCTCCCCAAGCCCGCAGCCTGGGGTTTGGTGCCGCGCGCGAGCGGCCGTTTGCAAGTCCCAGGCACCCTCTGCTGACTGCTCGCTGGCCTCCCTGTGCGCCAAGCTGGGCTCCGGTGCGGGGACCCTGCACTCCAGCCCACTGGTACGGCACTCAGGGCCCCTAGGCACGGCCGCCGGCGCAGATGGGGCCACTCCCAGCCCTCCCCCCACAGGTGCGCCTGTGGCCACCTGCACCTCCCAAGGAACCACGCTGCTCTCTGGAAGTCACCAGTTTGGTGCAAGAGCACCAGATGCTGCCCGACGACCAAATGACCATCACCTGCCGGACTGCGGAAATAAAGCTCGGAGTAAAAGCGTTTCCACCAAAGCGTTTATTATGCAAAAGAGTAAGGCTTCAGCAAACCGAGTATAAATTAAAACCCAGCGGACAGAGAGGGTCTCCCACTCATAGGCTCGTGCGCTGTAATCACAAGGGGCTCCCGCCGAGCCCTTCCCCGTGACCCTTCCCGGTGACCCTTCCCCGTGACCCTTCCCCGTGACCCTTCCCGGTGACCCTTCCCCGTGACCCTTCCCGGTGACAGCTGTCTCTCACCCAGGGCGACCTGGCCGGGTGTCTGGACAGAGTGTGGTCTGGCCCCTCCCTTGCCCCGCACTGGCTTCGCACCTGTAAAGGCACTGACTGCGTCTGCTTGGGCCTGACTGTTCTCACCTCGCTTCCCCCAGGAAAGTTCGAGCTCCGGGGGCGGCGGGGGGGGGAGGGACAAGCACAGGCTTCTTGGGTCCCTGAGCGCCTGGGCCACAGACGCTGGCCTCTCCAGAGGGAACATACGCCCAACCAAAGACGGCCTCCTCCTGTGTCCCCCGCACCCCACCCCTGCTCGCTAAGCCTCCAGGAGCCCCCCACCCCCCCACCCCATCCACTGCGGACGTCCCCGCTCCCCTCCCACGGCCCCCTCTGCCCAGACCTTCCACGGGGACGCACAACAGCCCCTTCCCCCCGGTTACAAGTGGCCTTGACCTGAAGGCAGGAGTTGCCAACAGAGGCCGGGTCTACAGCGGGAGCAAAGCCGCCCCGCGGCAGCAGGACGACAGAGCCCATCAGGGCGCGCTGACCTCGGGGCGCCCCAGGGACTTGACGAAACACGGACTGAGCAGGGCTGAGGGGTGTGCACCGTCTCCCAGGCGGGGGCCCAGAGCCTCCGGGGCCACGGCCGCCAGGAAGCCCGAGGCGGGGAACCTGCGGGTTCACCACGGGCTCCTCACGGCCGGCCGCAGCCCTGCGGACGCGCACCCCGGGGGGCCAGGGCCCACGCGCTCTGCGGGAGACGGGCGCAAACTGCACGCGGCAAACGTTACAACGCGAAGCATCCTATTCGTAAAGAGGAACGCCGTGGTGGGGAAGGAATTCGAGCGAACCGGGTACAAACGCTTTATCCTGTGTCTTTCCCAAGCTGGGTGCCTTCGGGTGTGGCCTGTGACGGGCGACTTGCCGGGTGCTGTTAGCGAGGAGGCAGGGCCTGCATGTGGAGAGCGTCGTAGGTGTCCTTGGTGGCCGTGCTGAGCCCCTAGTGAAAGCCAATCAGAAAAGAAAAGTGGGTCGGGAGCTCCGTGCAGACTCCAGGCCGCCTGGAGGCCAACGAGGGGCTTCCGGACGCCTCGGAATGGTCCCGTCGTGCCCTGGGTCGGGGGCCGGGCCCAGAAGGCTCCAGAAAAGGGGTTCTGCGCCCTGCTGGGAATGGCCTCGGAGTGGTTCCTTTCCAGCTACTCCCAGCCCCCAGGTACGGAGCCCTGCAGTGTCTGGGGCCTAGACGAGCTTCCTCGTGGACCGAAGCGGAAGGGGAGCCCCCACGCCCCCCAAACACGGAGCTGGGATCAGGGGTCGCTCCTCAGTCGACTGTCCCTGATACCGGGGCCTCCGGGGAGCCAGGACTTGTCACGAGGAGACGGGGCTCCCGGAGACAGAGCAACGGAGCCACACCCCACGTGGGAGCCGGGCAGCCAAGTCAGGACCCGCTGGGGGCTACAGTTTAGAGAAGTAGGTGGGCTCGCCTTCGTTTGCATAATTATTCACACTGATTTGCATAGACCAGACTCCTGGCTACAACTGCGCTTTCTTTTTAAAGTTGTTATGTCTCTTGATTTTCTTTGGCCTTCAGTTTTCCCACCCATCCGCCCGGCGCATTTGGTTTGAGGACGCGGGGCCCAGGGCCCAGGACAGCGCAGGGCGGTGCGGGGAGAGGCGGCTCCCGGCTGCGGGGTGTCCTCGGCCTCCACCGCCCCGGGCAGGACCACGCAGCCTCCGGGCAGCTGCCGCTCGTCCGTGGCCGGGGGCTGGGGGCTCCCGAGCCCTGACCGGCCCTGCACCGGGGCCTAAGGTTTGCCCGGCCCAGCCGACAGCGACAGCTCTGCCCCCAGCAAGCAGAACGTGGGCGTCTAGCCTTGCCCCTGGTTAGATGGCCCCCAGGGACAGAACCCCCGGCGCAGACTGGGTTTTACCTGGTAGAGGGCGTCATGCCCCTTCCCTCTCCGCCGCTGGTTCTGTGGGAGGGACACAAAGGGGCAGAAAGTCAGCAGCGGCCTCCGGCTCGAGGCCTCTACTCTAGGGACCCCCAGAGAACCGGAGATGACAGTCTCCCAGCTGGTACCCCCACCCCGGGCTAGAAAGGTCCTCGGGCCTGAAGAGTCAGGTGAGGCTCGTCTCCGACGGGGCCCAGGTTTGCTCTGAGCCACGCAGGTCCGCCCAGACACCGGAGTCCTAGAATCGGGCTGCACGGGGGCTGGCCACGCCGCCTGTCACCTGGGATCAGCGGGCCTCCCTGCCACTCCCAGAATTCCTGGCGACGGATCCATGCTCACCGGGAATGGCCACCAGATAGTGCTGTGGGCTCCGGCTGCAGAGTCCACCCGCCCCTGGGCTCCCCTACTTACTAACTTGGGTAAGTTATTTAACCTCCCGTGTGGGGAGCACACATGTCTCACCGGGTTATTGTGGGGATTACCTCAGACCACCTACCTGATAGAGCCCTGACCAGGCCTGCTGGGCGGACACGTCACCCCTGCAGTCCCTGCCTGGGACGGCCGGTGCTCTGCTCTCACCATTTGGAAATTTTTAATCTTTTATGAACAAGGGACCCCGCATTTTCATTATGCCTTGGGTCCCAAAGTCCTGGGCACTGAACACCCCATGATAAGTCCTGATGGTGACAAATGTGACTTGCTGTTACCGAGCTTAGTGTGTCTTAGAATCTCCACTTGGCTCCTGAAAGAGCATCAGCCTTTCCTTGGTGTCTTACGTCCGGGCAAGTGCGGAAGAGCTGGATTAACCCTTTGCCCCCCGCGCCCAGCACAGGTGAGGTGAGGTGAGGAATGGGTGGGGACGGGGCCCACGGCAGGCATATCTGGGAGACGACGAGGAGCCCCTGGGGAGCATCCCCACCCCTGACCCAATTCTGGGGAATCAAGAAGCAGCACTCACGTCGCCTTTTACCCCAATCTCACTGTAGGCCTCCGCCATCTTGTCTTTCTGCAGTGCCTGGGAAGGAAGAGGGCGAGGGACACGGATTTGACTAACTTCTGCCCAAGACAGCGGGCTGCCCTAGAGGGTGACGCCTCTCGACTTCCTGCCCGGCAGGGGTCGCCGGTCAGCATCCCGGCCCTTCTTCACCTGAGCATCTGTGTCCCCAACCAGCTCCCACCTCCCGCGTCCCGCAGCCCTCGGGGACCCTCTCTGAGCTGCCAGCCCTTTGCACCGGCCGAGAAGCTCGGGTTAGGTTCGCAGATAAAACGTGGACCTCTAGCCAAAGACCTTGAACGTGGACACCCGAGGGATGCCGGGAGCCCCCAGGGCCATTTATCTGAGCAAACTGTGTCTTTACACACCACCCACGCGCTGCACCAGCCGCTGCGGCCGGAAGGAGAGGCAGCTCCCGCCTCAGGCCGCCCGGGGCACGGGCTGCAAACCTCGGTCAGCGCGCCGGCTGGGGAGCTGGCCTTCCGGGAGGAGGCAACGCGCAGGAAGGACTCCGCTTCTAGAAGCAGGAGCCCCTGGGAGGGCGCTGCCGCCCTGCTCCTGCCCAGCCTGACCTCGCCGCTCCCCCCCGGGGGGCCACGAACAGGGGACACCGGACTGGGTGGGGGGAGGCAAGCGAGGGCTGCTCTACAGGCCGCCGGCGCCACAGGCCGCGAGTAGGGGTACACTCGGCACGGGAAGGTCAAGCGGGGTGAAGGCGGGGGGGAGGGGGGGGATCGTCGCCAGGGCCCCCTCCAGCCTGCCCTCCCGTACTCACATTGTACACGACTTCCGGAGGGTTCCTCCTTCTCTGCTGGGAAAGAGGGGCAGGTTAGAGGTGGGGAAACAGGGACCCCAAGCAGAAGGGGGGTTGCAGCGGCCTCACACCCCGGCCGCCCCCCAGCTCCCTCCTGCAGCCCTGCCCCCCCCCCGGGCCCCCTCAGCTCCACCTCAGCCCCTGCTCCTTAGTGTGCATTGCACACCCCTTTGCACGCAGGCTTCACTTCCCGCAGGGCCCCCTGGGCCCAGCCTTGCCCAGGGCAGCCTCGGGGTCCCCGCGGGCAGCCAGTCTGCGGGCCACGCGGATCACAAGCCTGCAAGTGGGCTTTCTGGCTCGAAATGAGAGGTGCTCAGTACCTTAATTTGGAACAGGGCCAGCCACTGCTCAGCGAGCGCTCCTCGCCTTCCGCCTCCACCCTTCTCGCCCTCCGCCCCCACCCCTCCTCCCCCCTCCTCCCCCACCCCTCCTCCCCTTCCTGGTCCAGGTAAGAGGGGAGTTGAGGCTGGAAGACGCACCCGCGGCTCCTCTCTGCCCACCCCCCCACTCTAGCAACAGCGGGGGGGGGGGGCGGGGAGAGCAGGTGTGACCCGAAGCAGGGTTGGGGGCGCCGCTGGGCGCTGTCAGGCAGCACTGCCCTAAAACCCGGCTTTTCAGAGGGCACTGGCCTGGCCTTACCCAGCCCCCACCCCGCCCGCGGAGCTCACAGCCGAGAACAGAGCCACGAGGAGCCTGGAGCCCCGCCGTGCTCCGGGGGGACCCAGGACCCAGGATTCTTGTCCAGTGGCCTTGGGCCCTTCCGGTGTGGGCCTCGTCACCCGATCTGTCCCTCTGGGGGCAGATGGCCCTACTGTGGCCAAGAAGTTTAAGGGGAGGTGGGTGGGCCTTGGGTACAAGGGTGTCGCCTGAGGCACCGGACGAAGAGACGGGCGTGGGAGCAACGCCCCCCCCCCCCCAGGCGCTGGAGCCCTAGGGCCCTCGCGGGCTAGGCTGGCGCGGCGGGGGGCGCGGGCACCGAGGAGGCACCCGCGGCCGGGCAGCACACGCGCATGCGCAGGCAGAGACGGGGGCGCCCACCTGCTGTCCGCCCATCTCGGGGTCCAGGCCTCGTCTCTTATCCAAAACTTCATACTCCTGCCTTCCTCCCAGGTTGAGCTCCTGAAACCGAGGGGAAAGGGTCAGAGACACGAAGGCTGCCGGCTGGGGGGCTGGGGGCTGGGGGCTCCCTCGGGCCAGCTCTCAAGGGAAGGAGCAGGACCCGGCTGGGGCGGGAACGGGCCCATCCGGGCACCAGCATCTCAGAGACCGTGTGTGTGCGTGTGTGCACGCGTGTGTGCGCGCGTGTGTGTGCGCGTGTGTGCGTGCGCGTTTGTGTGTGCGCGTGTGTAGCTAGATTCCACCCGAGTCCCATCGCCCCAGGAGAGTGAAACCTCTTACCTGCGGCCCTGAAGACCCACTGGTGCCCCTGCGCACCCGCCTGGGGGGGTGCAAACTTCTGGGGGGTGGGAGGCTCACTGGCCAGCACGCCCCAAGCGGGACCCGGAGCGCGCGGCGGGTTCGGGTCCCGGGTTCCCGGGCCCTCGGGAGGTTGGACAACCGGCCAGCCTGCAGCGGGGGCCCTGGGGGGCGGGGAGGGGGGGCGGACGGGAGGGAAACTCACGTTGTAGAGCTGGTTGGCGCCCTGCTGGCTCGCGGGGGCGGCCGGGCTCCTGCCGAACTGGAAGAGGGTCCGGGAGGTTAGCGCGCTGGGTCCGCGGCTCGGGACGCCCCCCACCCCGGCGGCGGCGCTCCCCCCGCCACCGCCCCCCCCCCCGGGGACCTCGGACAGCAACTCCGAGGAGAGACCCCCGCGGCCCTGCCTCGCTTAGTGTCCCTCCGGGACCAGCCCGAGGCACACGCGACCTCGCTCTCCTCGGCTCAGTTCTCTCCGCTGGGGGGGGGGGGGGGGGGGGGGGGGGGGGGGGGGGGGGGGCGGTCTTACAGACCTGCGCGGTGGAAACCACCTGGGAGACCGCCCAGGGCAGCGCCCTTCGAGCTCTTAAAAAGAAAATTAGTGTGACTGCTTTTCAAATAAAATCTTTTGCCAAAATCTACAATCCCAAAGAGCAGAAAGTTGGGGGACCCAAGTGATGGCAAGGACCCAGCTTCCTTCCACCCGCCGCTGGCACCATGGCCACCCCCCCACCCCCCGCCCTGGGAGAAATCCACACTCTGCGAGGCACCCCTGCTTTGGGCTGGTCCTCGCATTTACTGACTGGGAGCCTGGGGGTTCCAGGGACAGGCTGGTGGCCCCAGGCAGCAGCGGGACAGCAGCACCTAGGGAAAGGCCTCAGGTCCCCACCTCCCGCGCTTAGTTGCCTGAAGCCCCTCTGCTGCCAGCAGTACCCGCCCGGGGCTTCTGATGCTCGCACGTGCGTCTGTTTGCCCAGGAAGACCCCCCCCACCGGGCTCTGCCTGCCGCTGCTCAGGTCACCGGCCGCCCGCCCACCCACGGGGCACACTCGGCTGGTCCCTGCTTTGCCATGGACACCATGCTCCGGGCACTGCCCACGCCTGAGACTTTCCAAGACTGAGGCCCCTCTGAACATCCAGCAAGCTGGGGAGCCCACGGCACCCACCTTTGCTCTCAGGAACAGGGCAGTGACAATGACGCCATAGATGAAGAGGACTCCGTCCAGCAGGTAGCACAGTTTGGGGTCCAGGAGGCCGAAGCTCTGTGCATCTGGGCCAGGAGAGCAGAGTGAGCGGCCGGTCTGGTGACGCCGCAGGCCCCACCCTCCCAGGGCGGCCCCGGGACCCGTCATCATGACACGGGGGGCTGCACCCAGTCCCCTCACCCCATCTGACCGCAGCCTCCCTCAACAGCGGGACATGACACCTCGGGGTGGAGGGGGGGGGTCACAGGTCCTGGGAGGACGGAAGGGAAGCAGAAACCAGGTGGGGGGAGGTGAAGCTGTCCAGTGGACACGGGCCTGCTGCGTCAGGCCCACTGCAGCCCAGCCGTGTGTGAGCGTCCGTGTGAGCCAGGCACCCCGGAAGCCTCTGTAATAAGATGCCTGTGTCTGGACGAATGCCACCAGCCGGGTCAGGTATGTGGCTCCCGAAGGCCGGCCCACAGGGAGAGGGCAGGACCCATGTTCGGTTGATATCATGCATCAGGACTGTGGGAACTGGGGCTGACCCCCCTTCCGGGCTCCCATTCCTTGGTGCCGGGCACTGAGCGGCCCCCCCTCAGGGTGGGGTGGAGGGGGGTCTGGTGCTGGCCTTCCTCCCCTGGGCCCCAAGGAGTCTCATAAGCCCCAAAGGTACATTTGGTGAGCCCCGCCCAGCCTGCACCTGGCATTCCTGCTGCTCACGAGTCCCAGCCCATGGCCCCAGCTTTGTCTGTCCCTGCCCCCCACACACACACACTTACAGTCCTGAGGACACACCTTGCTCTTCCGGACTATTTGCCTCTGTGCCTTTGCATGCACTGTTCCCTCTACATATCCTCTGCCTCTGTCTGCCTGCAGCCAGCCCTCCGCCTCGTGGAACCGGACGCATCCTACAAAGCACCGCTCAGAAACCCATCCAGCCTGTCCTGCCCCAAACTGCAGGTGGCACCCCCACTGCCCTCTTAACCTTGGTCAATTTAGTTAGTGCTGCATTTTATTTTTTTTAGTGTTTATTTATTTTGGGAGGAGCAGAGACAGAGGGAGACACAGAATCCACAGCAGGTTCCGGGCTCCGAGCTGTCAGCACAGAGCCCGACGCGGGGCTCGAACCCACGAGCCACGAGCTCATGACCTGAGCCCAAGTTGGACGCTCAACTGACAGCCGCCCAGGAGCCCATTGCACGGGCATTTTAGTGCAACAGGCTTGGAGAAGGGGATACAGCAAATGTTTTGAGTAAATAAACGTGATTTTATTTCAGAGCTCACTGCACTGTGAGGAGACGCGGTCCAGACCCTACTTCCGTCCAGGAATTTGCAGCGACTCGGCCCCTGTGGCGCACCTGCCCGGGTCTCGCCCCCCCACAACCCTGCGCCCCCAGTGGCGGCGTCGCCCAAGGCCAGAGCGCCCCCTGGTGGCCGCCTGCAGCCCCACGGCGGGGCGGGGTAAGAGGGCGCCCTGCCCTGCGCGCTTCTTACCCTTACCTGCGGGGCTCCGGGCACGTGACTCACCCTCGCTCGCGCCTCCCCTGTTAAACGGGGTGAAAACTAACATTTCTGTAATGTTTGCTCTAATGTAAGACACCCCCTCAATGGGATGACTGTCAGACCCTCCCAACAGCGCCGCGCCGAAACCCGTTCCCAGCGGGGCGCGCGCGCGCACACACACACACACGCACACACACACACACACAGCCTGCGAGGCGGCCCCAGGCGCACACACACACACACGCACACGCACACACACAGCCTGCGAGGCGGCCCCAGGCACACACACACACACGCGCACACGNTGCGAGGCGGCCCCAGGCACACACACACACACGCGCACACGCACACACACAGCCTGCGAGGCGGCCCCAGGCGCGCACACACACACACACACACACGCACACGCACACACACAGCCTGCGAGGCGGCCCCAGGCGCGCTCACACACACACACACGCGCGCACACACACAGCCTGCGAGGCGGCCCCAGGCGCGCTCACACACACACACACACACACACACGCACACACACAGCCTGCAAGGCGGCCCCAGGCGCACACACACACACACACGCACACGCACACACACAGCCTGCGAGGCGGCCCCAGGCCCCTGCGGGCAGTGAGTCCCCTCTCTGCGCCCTCCTCCCCTGCGTCCAGCCCTGCCCACCTTTCTCCCACCCGCTGTGTGAGCAGGTGACTCGGTGCTGCCCAGGGCTCTCCCCTCCCCTCCCCTCCCCTCCAGCCTGTGGCTCCCGCCCCAGTTCAAGACCCCTCTGGGCCCCCGGCCGCTGATCTCTCTGTAAACGTCCCACGGCCCCTGCTCAGAAACTACTGATGACCCAGTGACTCGAACTAAGTCCCAACTGCCCATCAAGCTGTGCCCAGGCCCCATCGAGGCCCAGCTCCCCCACTCCGCACACTGCCCTCCCCCCTCCGCTCACCAGGACTTTCCTACCCACCCTCCCTTCCTCCAGCGCCCCCCTACCCGGGGCTGACACGCCCCCTCCACTGGGCATGAAGGGGGCTCCTAACCCACCCCCTTCGCCCCTGGTGACTCAATGGCTGATTCTGCATCTGCTGGAGGTGCAGAGCCTGCCTCCCACAGGGCGCCCCCACGCTGACTGTCGCTTCTGAGGTCCCCTGCACCTGGGGTGAGCCCTGGAGACCAGCGGCCGCACTTCTGCCTCCCCCTCCCCCCCACATTGGAGCGCAAGGTGGACGATCATTAGACAGTGGGGGCTTTTCAGGGGAGATGCGCCCCTCCCCCGCCGCTGCCCCCCCCCCCCCGGCCCTGAGGCAGCACCAGAAGTCCCCTGCTGGCCTCAGGTGGGCATCTGAACCCCTCCAGGAGGTAAGCCAGCCCCCAGCAGAGGCCACCGTCGCCGGGGTGATTTTTGTCTTAGGGACTGGGGACCAGGTGTCGGCGGTAATTTACGGGGTGGTTGAGATTCAGAAAAGGACTCGGAGAAAATCGCTCCGCTGCCTGTCCCATAAAATGAGGACAGAAAAATGACTGGACAGTAAATTTAGAACAAACGAGAAGAAATATTTCTTCGCTCGGGCAGAGCCCGCGCAGTAGGGGATGGGAACTGGTCTCCTCCCCCAGAGAGAAGGAACAGGGACAGGTTTTCCTTCTTTCCTTCCAAAGAGCCACCAGACTGCATGGCCGATGACAAGTACGCTGTGCGTGGTTCACCCAGGGGAGGGTGTGAACTGCAACACGATTCCCAGGGAAGGGCTCTTCCTCCACCCAGTCCGGCTGCGCCTGTGCTGCGAGCAGCGGCCTGAGGAAGGCAGTGATAGCCTGGAAACTTCCACAAAGGGACCGGGACCTAATTCCATTACGTAACTGGCTAAATGTTTCTTGGGCATCTGCTCAATGCCAGGGCTCGATGTTGACGTAGAAGGGGCCCTGGGTCGGGTATCAGGCAGATTCTAGTGCCCCCCTTGCTAAGTAGCTGTGTGGTCTTGGACAAGTCACCTCACCTCTCTGGGCCTCAGTGTCTTCACCTGTAAAATGGTGGGTAATCATATCTAGCCTGAGGCTGTGGTGAAAACAAAGTGAAGAAATGGATTTGTCAATTTCCTCCTCAAGGACAATGACGTCTAATAGAAGGTCTGAGTCCCTGCCCTCACCCGGCTTCGGCTGCAGCTTACACGGGGTAGAGGGGCCGCCCTCGGACAGCAGGCCGTGCTCCAGGATGCCAACCCAGAAGCAGAGACACTCGCTTCCTGCTTCCAGCTTCTTCTCTGCACCCTCGCCCCCAAGGCAGAGCTCGGTTTGCCTCATTCCCTAATCCACGGTACACATTCTGCATCCCCTCGGCCCAGAGGGAGGGAGGGAGGGCGGTGTTTAACACCTCTGTGGTGGCTGCTTCCCTGGTCAACACGAATCGTTTTTATCTCTCAGTTCCTGTCCTCAGCCCCAGTAACACTACCTGCCTCGTTAGGTGGCAGTGAGGACTAAATAAGATACTGATTATGGGGTGCTGGACCCAGCACGTAATAATAATGTGTCTGCTATCATTATCGCCATGACTTTTTCCCCCAAATCACCACCAACACATTTTTTTTTTTTTTTTTGAGAGAGAGAAAGGGTCAAGTAGAATCAGGAACGTTTAAACTGGCTAGGACAGGAGGGGCGCCTGGGCGGCTCAGTTGGCTGAACGTCTGACTCCTGATTTCGGCTCAGGTCCTGATCTCAGGGTTGTGAGATCCACGCCCAAATGTGGAGACTGCTCAAGATTCTCTCTCTCCCTCTGCTCTTCCCCAACTCCTCTCAAAAAAAAAAAAAAATTAATTACTTCAATAAAATTGCTTACACTGGGTAGCACTTCACTGGCGCGCCTTACCCCTGGGTGAGCACGGCCACACAGCCAAGCAGCTCAGGGCGTTTGGTGAGGGGGCTGCCTGCTGAGCAGTCACATGATTTCCCATTCAGAAAATGCTGCCTTCCCATCAGAGAAGTGGGTTGAAGAAAACAGACAGCCCGACAGTAGCCTCCCAGCACAGGCCTCGGTGTGACGGCGGCAGCGGCCAGCGGAAGGGGACAAGCCCTATTTGCAAAGCAGGAGAACACTGCTTCTAGCCGAGACTGGGGGTGGGGGTGGCATCTGACCCCATGAGCCTCCATCTCTCCAGCCTGGACCCCACAGGCCGTCCTCGGCACAAGCACCCTCGGCACATCTGGAAAGCGAGGGGATTCGGCCCCGGTTCCCATGCCCGCTCCGCCTTCCCCGGGTGTAGCTGGTGACGGCGCGCACGCGTCCCCACGGCACCAGGGCCCGGAGACGCAGTCCACGCGGGCCGGAGCACATCCAGGCTGGAGGCCTCAGGCAGGTGCTCCCAAAAGATCGGGCCAGGCCGAGAAAGAGGCGTTTTAAGTGGATCTAGTTGCTCCGGGGCAGGGCACGAGCTGCTGACCCGGAGCCCGGGAAGAGCTGGCCTTCCGCACTCGGGCACTTGGTGTTGGACACGGACTGGAGCCCCGGGGACGAGAGGAGCCCGGCCCACAGCCTGCCCTTGTCGCAGTCAGGAGGCCACTGTCCGGTGTGCTCGCCGCAGTCCGGACTCGATGG